GAGCTCTCATACTAAGAAACTATTGCATGAAAAGAGAGGAGGGCTACATATGAAAAGTAGGGGATCCGGGAAGGGAACTGAGATTTAGAGGAGTGTCTGAGGAGTCTGTTGATTCCTTGGCAGAGTAAATAATCAGCAGTGACGAGTGTAACAGAATACCTTAGTGATGAAAGTCAGCTAAGAAGTTGTCAAGAATACTTTCCAGTCAAGGTAGCATAATGTGTTCATACTTTAATGTCTCTCCTCTCTTCCAAAATCCTGGTAGCAATGGATGCAGTATAAAGAGAAAATAGGCAGTATAAAATAGCAAGTCAAAGTGGTACACTGAACTGAAGTCTTGATCTGAGACTGGTAGGTGTCCCAGGCCCAGGGTTTGGAATCAGGGAGCAATGTCTGCAATTTGGTTGCTGTGGGACAGTGGGCACAAATAGTGCTTTCTGTAAAATGCAGATGGGAGCCAGCCTCCCGTCTTTTAAATCTCAGACAGTGGTGAGCTTCCTCGTCCAGGCAAGAGCTGAGGAAACTCATGCTAGCCCCTGCCAGGTGGTGCTGGGGGTGAGGGGGTGGGTACATAAAACCACTAGATTGATCTGGAATGCATGCAGAGAGGAGAGGGCAGGCTTAAAACTTGCAGACACATGAGGACATCTCATGCCAAAGAGGGAAGCAAGCAGCGCACAAACAACTGGAGCGTGGACTCGCCCCGGATGAGGTCATCTGTGTAGACTGTCCTGACAGAGGACGATCGGAGCTCGAGATAAAGAAACTACATTTGTGTTTAGTCAAACAGAAATTGAGGGGAGGTGGGAATGGGGTACACGTAAGATAAATTAGGAATCATAATAAATTTAAGGAGAAAAAATCAGCAAATGAAATAAGCTCTAGATGGAGTTGAGTGGCTGGGGGTGGAGTTGGTGGATTGGAAGACAGTACTGAAGAGTTCGTCTAGAGAGTCCACACACAGAGCTGGTGGCTGTGTGTGTGTTTGTATATATTTATAGAGGACTTATTTTTCTAGCTTTTTTCCAGATTTTCAGCAATGGGGTTGTCTTGCTTTGTCAATTTTTAAATGGGGGAAAAAAAAAGAAGTACACAATACACAACTTATGTCTGCCATAGTAGCCAATTTAGGAAAAGTTATTTACAAAAGTAAAAATTTAATGTATTCAAGAAAATAATCCTACTCTGCTATTTATATTCCAGAGGAGAAATTAGAAACTTGACTAATATACTTAATGCTTCAGGGACCTTAGAGTGACTGAAAATTTCAAATTAAGTGCTTCCTAAATAAAATTCTGTGCCATATGCAAAAAAGACCACATCTGAAATTAGTTATTTCTAGCGGTTCACCACCGCATCAGAGACAAAAGTACAGATAATTCTGAACGGCACACAGAAACACAGGAAATGTTTGTCTATATTTAAACATAGTTGTGTCTAATGTCTTTAGCAAGCATTCCGTTCGCAGGGTTCCCAGCTTCATGGGCAGGTCAGTCTCAACTTGATGTTTAACCTGATAAGGTCAGATTCCTTGATGGTTAACTGGCTAATTTATTGCAAGATTATCTACATAATGTCAGTATCGATGGCAGTGCTTAAATCAGTAACTATGTAAGACGTTTTTTTCCTCCTTGCCCCCTTATCATTATGACCTTGCTTTTCATCGTGTAGTTGTTTTCTATTTGGCTGTGTTGTATAATGTGGTGTTCCATACAAGTGAAATTTGGGGGTGACTGAGAATGACATCAAGTGTTTTATTCATTTAACACGTATTTTTGAACACCTGCCATGAGCAAGGCACTGTAGGTGAGACAGCGCAGCACTGGGACTTCTGACTGAAGGATGAGTAGGGAAACAAAAGTTTTGAATGAAAACTTACTGAATACAAATCTTGATCATGAAGCTCTAGGCTCTTCACGTAGCTGGCTATGATCTGACTGTGCCATGCCCCTCCAGCAGCATCACCCAACCAAGATTTTCCACTTTTATCTTGCTGAGGGCTGAGACACTGCATCAGTAAACACGCTTAGGATTTTCCATAAAGGAAGACTCAGTAGGTTCTGGGCTTCATCCTAGGGGTTACATATGCTTTAGTTCCTATGAAGAAAGCTTTTTTGGTTTCTAACAATGTACCAAATACTTGATGTAGTCCTCTGAATAAATGAAAGTTACTTTGAGTGGGAAGGTATCTATATGCATGTATTTTTCACACGTAAGCATGGCCAGTTGTGCTTGTCATTTTGAAAACATACTATACGATTCAGGCAGGAGGCGTTTTCTGTCCCCTGCTTTTGGCAATACTGCAGAGGTTGAGAATTCCCCTAGTCTGAGCATCAGTTTCTTCCACTAGAATGCTTAACCACACTGCAGAATTTAATCTCCCTAGCCTTATTACTTACCACTTTTGTTTTTGTGACTTTAATTTTTTTTAAGATTTTGTTAGTTTTAAAAGGGCCTGTTTTAACTTCATTGAAAATTTCATTAGCCTCTGAAAAAAAATAGTTTGTAAGTTACACCTTTCATTCTCAGAAAGGAACCATGAGGGGAAATTATTATTTCCTTTTGCTTTGCCCCCCCTCTTCCCATTCCACCACTGAAAAATGAAAAGAAATTCATAATTGGGGCCTGGAATATTCCATCTGTTCTGAGGTCATGAAGTTCTTTTTCTCTCAAGGGTTCTAAATCATACTCCATTTAGTCTGCTTCCAAATCTCAGCCCAGAGACTGGGGACCCCAAAATGGGTAATACCACTGAGGAAGTAATTGCAGGTAAATGATTTATTTTTTCCTGCTCTAATAAAACCATGAAGGCCAAATGCTAAAATTCTTAAAACATTAAACTGGAGCCGCAGAACAGCCAAAGGAACAACAGGCAGTTTATAAAGGGGCAGCGACTAGAGAAGCACCGTGATGTGTAAAGTTAAAGCTGAAAGGGACTTGAAAGATAATCCGGTCATTTAATTTTACAGACTAAGTAAATTGAGTCTTGATGCTAAATGACACCGTCAGAAATATTCAACTGTAAGGCTGTGCTTGGTGCAAGATGCTCTCCGCTGTGCCCACCAGGCCACTCTGTGGATTTAGAGCTGTGTTTGCTCAGAGCTTGTTATTTTATGAGCATCAGTCCCGCCAAGCTGCCCCAACCCCTGAAAGCTCCAGTAGTGAGTGAGTGTGGGGCACATACCACGCTGCCCCTTAGAGCCTCCGTGCACGTTAGCATTTTGAAGGCTCTGAGAAGTATTGCAGCAAGGCGAGCTCTTTAACTTTGTTCAGCCCAGCATTCCCCATACGGTTTGAGTGCTGCACCATGTCTCCTTGTGACACCTCTGAACACTGCAGGGTCCTGCAGAATCTTCGGGGGTCAGGGGTAATCTTACAGCACATCGGAGCTAAGTGAGGTATTGACAGAGTATCAGTGGAGTAACTGCAAATTTATTCTGAAAGGAGAAAGATGAAAATATAAGACTAGAACCTTATTTCTTAGTGTCATAAGGGAAACTGTTATCAGGGGAAAATATTTTGTGCTTTCACACTAATGCTAAAAGTGATTTTTTAAAATACTCATTTGCTGCTAATAATGTTGCCAACATCAATTTTATTAGACTCAGAATGCTTCGTTTAAGTGTATTATACCTTCTGTTTGTTTTCCAGGACACTGTGATTTATGACCGATTGGCAGAGACTTCAAAATACAAAGAAATTACCCTAAAACATTTAGAACAGTTTGCTACAGAAGGTGAGTGTAATATGATATTAAAATATGATTAGAATAAAAAGAAATCATATGCTACTAATATCTTACAGGATCATTGTTATTTTACTTAGAGATCCCTAAAGTAAGATTTAACAATAAATGTTGATAATTTAGATCCTGTTATATGCTGTTCCCACCCATTGTTTTTATTTTGTTTTCCTGTATTAAAATCTTGAGACATGTGGTCCCCACGTTTTGGGGGCTGTAGAGCCCATAGATTTGCTTTTTAGAATGGATACTATTTAAATATTTAATATCTTAATCAATGTAGAAAGAAAGAAACAAGAGTCAAATAACTGGATATTCTAATCTGAGTAAGAGGAGAAGAAATAAATAAACCTCTGTAACT